GTAGATAGCGATGAGTTGGCCGACGCATTTCGAATGCGTTCTGCATCCATTATCAAGGCTGAATGTTGTGTGAATTGTGATTACTGTTGGTGGATATTTAAAGGTATGGGTAAGCAGGTGGTGGTATCTAGCTCGTGGAAGGCATTAATTGGTGGAGTGTTGTATTGTGGCTTGGGGGTTTCTCGCCAAGAAGTAGCAGTGTGCGTGCTGTTCCTGTTGATTGTTTGTTGATTATGGGAGTTTGCTGTAGGATTTTTATTGCTTCGTGTATTTGAAGAGTTGTGAAGCCGTTAAATCGGCGGTTTACTTTGGTGTTTTGTACTAGGTCCTGACGTGTGAGTTTTTGGTTGTGGATTCGGGCACAATGTTCTTTGATGGCTCCATTTTGTAGGTGCATTGTTAGGCGTATTCTCCAATATACATTATATAATTACTATGGAGTGAGATGTTGAATTGCAGTTGACTCCTTTGATTGGGAATCCTCATCTTACCCCCATGCAGATGTTGGTACCACATAGCTGGGTTTTGGATTTAGTGTGAACCAATCAACATAAGTCCATATGCATGTTCAAAGTTGTTTATCTTTGTCCCTCGATTGTGCTCCCACTGTGTTGTGGGTCACAGTGGAGGTAAGGGGAGTTGTTTCAGTTCTGTCCTTTGCTATCTCTCGTGTATTTTTATCCAAGAATGTTATTGCTTATCAGATGGTTCTAGTCAGTTTCACTGCTGTGGGAGTAGAATTTGTTTATATAGACATCCTTTCAATACCAGATGTCGGGTTCCCGATCGAAATATTCCTCAAATAACACGTGTCATGCCCCGGGGTTGGAAGGGTTTTAGATTCTCTCTGATCTCTGGGGCTTGAGGGGAAGACAGTATGATCCTTGTGTGGATGTCAGTTTTTAGTGACATGGATTTTGGATGTAGTTTACTTGCAAAGTACGGTCCACCATGCCCTAGCCACTTATAATTTGTTTACCCACTTTTCTGCTTGGTGGGATTGACTTGCATATATGAATTTAAGGATTCACATAATTATCCGCTCTCAGCTCTCTCCCACTTGGTGCTCCTCTTCTTCTTTCCACCCTTTTTCTCCACTCATTACAGTTGGGCAAAGAGGATACCTGGTCAGAAGTGGTGCAGTTCCCCTCTTCAGATCTGACTCTCATCTACAGAGGCATTTTTCGGATGCTTTTGGGGGATACATCTGTTCTTCTCTCACACTGGTCCCTCCTCCTAATCAATGTGGGATTCTAGCTAATCTTGTGAGAAGAGGGAAGTACTGTCTTTGAAGTTATAATTTTCCTATACAGAAAATGTTATTTCCAATAGGTACTTCCCTCCACCCACACTTCCCACTTTCCTCCCCACAATCTTCCACTGCTTACATCATCTGCCAAACTTCAAAGTGATGGTTCAGTAGTGGCACATAGAGGGAGTCACATGAGTCACGTTATAGTAATGATCTTCTATTGGTGGAGAGATGACGCATGATGATTTGCATGAGAGACATGTTGGAATCATTATTCCAATAGTGGGGGTGCGGAAGGCTTTTGGCATACATTATAAAAAAAGTTCGCATATAGAGGGCAGCACAAAACGGGAAAAATAATCTTGTGAGTCGAGGGAAATATCTATCAGAAATACATTTTCAGTATAGGAGAATTACAATTTCTGATACTTCAAAATTCTTGTTCAAGCTCTACACAGGGCAAATTTTTTAACAACCTTGGTTTTTACATTTGTTGTTCTAGAATGCTCATGATTAGCCACTAGTCCAAAATTAGAATTATTGAATATAATATTACTTTGAATTTGTAGCTCTAATAGCAAGAAATTTAAAGTTTTGTTTTGCATAACAGTATATGTATACCAATGTAATCATTACTATTATTGACCTTGTGAATATTTTATTGGAAGTATTGTACTGCATATTTGGGTAATGTGGTTATGAAAGAAATATTAATGTACATCTTCCAATGTAGATTAGTTTTCTTTGTTTCTGTGTTTTTCACAGCATTTTAGATCATAATTTTTATTTTGAGATCATTTGTTGATCTATGGATGTTGTATGTACTTTTTATTTTAAACTAATAACATTAAGCTATTGTCATCTCCTAATATTTTATGTATTTTCTTAATTTATTCAATAATTGTATTACTTTTTTTTCTATAACTAACAATGCTTTAATTTTTAGGATTGGTAAAAGTGATCTTCATGACATACAACAAATTGGACGATATCCTTGATCCAACACCTCCAGATGTTACTCCCTCTATGTGGCAAGGTGAACCAGGCTGGAAGACAAATGTGCTTCAGATCATCAACAGCAAAATTTTGGCAGCATCTCTAGGAAAATCCCGTTCAGTGTTATCAAAGCCTGTAATTGTGACATTAGTTCACATCCAAACAGAAAATGTCACAAATCCACAATGTGTCTTCTGGGATTTTACCCACAGGTCAGACTGTGTGATACTTTAATTTTGCGTAGAATGCAAATAAACTTATTTAAAAGAAAGGGAAATACATTTTGCATTGGAGATTCAACCAATATAAAATATTTATAATTAAGCCTTGTTTACCAAAAGGAAAAATATGTATTTTTTCATAATAAAATGAAAACATCTTCCGAAGGAAAAAAAGATTAATATCATAGTTTAAACATAAACTTTTTGGAACACAATGTTAACATTAATATCATATAAACTACTGATGAAATTAAATTGGTTACCTACATTCTGTTTTCAAGTTAAGTATATTTGGTGTCATACAATTGCAGGTTATGTTGTTATAACAGCTTTAAAGAGATTGATTTCTGTGCTAGAGATCTAATGGTTTGTTGATTTTCATCAAGCAGGTGGAACTCATTGTACTTATGATACATGTGGGCACTACCAGTCTGCTTAAATTCTTACTCATTTTCAAAACTAAATTATTGAGGGTTTAATTTGCATATCTGAATATGTACCATTAAATAATACTAATTGTTTGAAAAGTTATTTTCAAATGAAAGGGACATTCTTTGAGTAAACAATGGGAGAGAAAAATCTGTATTATCCTGCCTTTCCCCTTTACAAAGAATTTGTTAAACATTTATGTGATATTTTATATAATATCTCTTTGTGAAGTAGGCATATAAATTATAAAATAAACTTAAGAAAATTCTAGTTTCTTCAAGTGGGATTAAAGTTATTTCTAATTACAAAACTTTAAGAGTAAATTTATTCTAAAACTTGGAAACATTAGAAATTTCACATTGCATATGTTATGTGATTTTGAAAATTAAATAACAAATTTGGTGAACTGGTATTATTTATAAGTGAGTATTAAACTGTTGGTGGTACACATAGATATATTTAATTCTGAACAATGGTAATTGTTGCCTCTTTACCTCTAACAAGAATAGTACAGTATATACAGTTTATAAAAAAAAACATGATTCACAAAAGTGTGCAGTACAGAAGGGGAGAGTGTGTGTGTGTGTATTGATTTCTCAAAAGATGGTGATTTTACTTAGTTCTGTGTGAGCATTGATGTTACACATACACAGGCCCTATTTCTACTATGACTTCAATGTGTTGTGGATTACCACATGCTTACTAGGCCTCCTACTCCACCCCTTCAGCCAATGGGGACACTTGCTTTCCTGGAACAACTCATTCCTTTGTGGAAAGCACACATGTGCCTCCTCCAGTGAACTTTGCAGATTCAATGGATTCTTTCTTGGATTTCACAGTCCTCGATTGGGAACTTCTCCTCTCCTTGAGGAATTTTCGTGTGGGCTGGACCATGCCAATACTGCTTTTGGCATTATCTTGCCAACCCCCAAACTGGATCCATCTCTCACCTTTCCCTCTTGCTTTGAGGATCTTCTCTAGATCACAGCATTACTTCTGATGTTCGTCTGCAGAACAAGCATTCCCTTCATATCAACATGATCAAACTTCTCACTGTTCATTGAGCATATTCTCATTTCCTGCCCTTCTGGTGGATCAATTGGTCCTGATCCACTCCATTTTCATGGTCATTTTTTCCATCAACCATCAAGAAGGCACCTAGGCTCATTCACACTGGGTTCACCTAATTGTCATTTCATGTGCCAGGAACTATGAACTTTTATAGCTAACCATCTCTCTCTCTTGGCCCTACTGCATTCCATCCACAGTGGTCTCTCAATCCTCGGGTCTTTCATTGGGTTTACTCTTATTTAGGCTCTAGCTGTTGAAACTCTCAGCCAGAACTGGTCTCATCTTTTTGTATAAGCATATCCTCCTCTTTGACTCGTCTTCAGGTTCTCACCTTGATATGTGATACTCTTTCTTGAGTCTTACTGTGATGTCTCTTTGGCCAATTCAGCCTTGGTTTCCTCTGCTTTATTGCTTGGTGTTGAGACCCCCCCCCCCTTCCTATATCCAATGTTCCCTTGCTCTTGCCTCAACCTTACACCTCCATTTTTCCTCAAGAAATGTTGTCCCTCCATCTTCATGTGTGGGTTTTGTCTGGTTTATCACCCATTGGGATAGACTCTCCTATCATGTAGCCTTCTTGTCACATTCCCATCACTCTTCCACTTTATCTGTCTCTCAATGAATGTAGCTGGCTTTCATCAATTGTTTATCTTCAACTCCTTTCCTTCCAGCTGCCCTACTGTGAACCACCTTTCTGCTTTTTTAATTGGCCCTTTGACCATGGTTTGTTGGTCCCCGCCATTGCTAGTTCTTCGGTTGCATTATCCACTATATATTGCTTTTTCTAGTACCACTATTCCTCTCCTTCCTTCTTTACTAACCTGCTCACTTGACTCACGTGCCTGACTGAGTCCTTAATGTGATTTTGTATGCTCTCACACATGCCCTGTTTGAGCCATTATCTTCTTGCTTTTGTATACCACTTTTCTCTCACCTTTGGTTGCCATCATTCAAATGTCTATGCTATTGATGCCTTTCACACCCTCTTCCACCATGCTTATATACTTCTCTACTTGTGTCCTGTTTGGCTGTTTGTTGTTATTTATCATGGACATCTCCTTTTTGGTGTCCTTGCTGTCATCTTTTCCTACCCTGGGGGAATTTTTTCCTATCCTTAATGGATGGGTCTGTCAACTCCTCCAGTTGGTATATTATTCCTTGGGTGTGGATGCTTGCAGACTATTTTGCATTTATTTGCATCTGATTCATTGCTTTTCTCATTCTGTTGCTTCCCTATTTTGTTGGCTCTTGGATGAGATCTTCCAGATGGGCATGTGGACAACTCCACACATGTTCATCACTCAATATCTTCACCTTTGCCTTCCTCAGGACTTCAACTTTCACAATCACCATACTTCAGTTGACCCATTATCTTTGAAATGAGGAATTATGTTTCCCTTTCATTATTTATCCCCCTTTCTGTTGGACAGGATCCTGCCAGGTGACTGGTGTTGCCTCCAGGGGTATGCTTATTTCTCAAAATCTATATCGGGCTATGATAATGGAAAATGTTTAGCTCATCTGCTCTGGCTCTACCAGTGTTTACTCTAGAATGATGTGTTCTGCAAGAGTATTTGAGGTATCCTCATGGCATACAAATTCACACAATAGTCCAATCCAGACCATAATGATTCCATAGACTATCACAGTAAAAGCCATCACCAGTTAAGTAACTGCCCACTTCTTTGGTTTGTACTTGCATTCTTTTAAAAATAGGGTTGCACTGTCTCCAGTAAAAGACCTTTCTGGCTGATGGTCTGATGGGGATCCAGTACTTCTCCAGGTCTCCCCAGTGTGAATTCACCCATCTATTCTTCAAGTGAAGCACAGGAGACTCTTGCCACTTACCAGTTCCTGATCACTGGGTCCATGGAGAATCTTCACTGGCTGGGTTTTTGCACAATATGAAGTACTAGTGAGAAGTAGGGCAATGGTGACACTGTTAATGTAGTACAAATCACCCCTCACACAGTTAATGTGCCCTCCTTCTCAGCCAGAGTCTGTGCAGTAGAGTCAACTTGAGCATCATACAATCTGATCTTGAGAAGGGGTCTTTGGTCTCCTCAATATTGGATTATCAGGCAACCCTATCCCATACTTTTCATTTTTCACACTTTGGCTCACTCACAACTTGTGAGCAGGTGTTTGGTTGGTCATGTTCACATTTTGACCATCCTTGTAATACTTCAGGCTTTTTTGCATTTCCCTTCCTTTGATCTTGGACAAAGAGTATACTATTGTTGAATGAAATGCTCCCATGGGTGTGCATCTATGGAGCTCCAGCCATCAGGTGCCACACTCCATAGGCCTTCCCTTTGGATGTTTTCTGAATGGGCTCATTTAGATTTAATATTTGCATTGGCCTCTCCACCATTTCAACGCTAGATTCTAGCATTTCTGTGTGAAGAAGTGAATTATCATCTTGGAAGTTAATATTTTCCTAATCTGAAAATCTATTTCTGACAGATACTTACCTCAGGGCAAATTCCTACCTGTCTCTCCCACTTCTGGTGCACCTTTTTATTTCTTGCCTCATCTTTGAATGTAATTATCATGAGTTCAAGTGCATAGAGGGAGTTACTGCACACGAAGGTTGTGTGACTCTTTTATTGGTGGAGAGCTGTTGCTGCATGATGACATCATCATTCACCAATACAGTTCACTTTAAACACATGAATTTAGGTGGGAGTTAGCTCAAGGCTAGTGGCATGCCAGTCTCATATGCAGAGACTGAGGGAAATAGCATTTCTGTGTGAGAAGGTGTCTTATCAGAAATACATATTCAAATTAGGAAAATGTTAACTTTTTAAACTTGTCTATATTTTCCTCCTCAGAGAATGGTCGACTGAAGGGTGTTTGGTACACTATACTAATTCAACTCATACTGTTTGTGCCTGCAACCATCTCACCAACTTTGCTGTTCTCATGGATGTCAAAGGTGTTAAGGTAAGTTAGGTTGAAACTTGTTCTTCATGTTTAAGATTTCATAAAAAGAAAAAGAAGAATGTAGCCTAATTGAATTGCGTAAGGAAAAATAATTATCAAAATAGTCACTAATACTAAAAATATTAGCACTAAAAGGAAACTAGGTTGTTGACTTTGTTTTGAGAATACCCATGCAGTTCAGCGTGTAAATGCTTAAAGCAAGTTCTTACATGGTTATTAAGCAGTGAACCTGTTGCCAACTTAATACTGTGATACAAACTAGATACTCATTAACCTTCTCAGAATGTTTTTAGTAGTAACAGATAAAACAGTATCAGTGTTATTATAATTTTGTAACTACATGAAGTGAACTCTGGTGCAGAAGTAAAGACTTTGAAATCTATCTTACGTTGAATTGATGAAAATAATGTTTTTTTGAAATCTGCAGATATAAAAGAACCTTATTACTATTAACTCATTATTGTCGTAAGTATAATGAACATACAAAAGATATTAGACTACTTGTACTTATGCTGTTAGTTTTTAAAAAATAATATCAATTTTGTAGACTAAATAATGTAAATAGTTGATTAGATATCATTTTCCAGGAGTTTTAAAATTTGTTTAAAAATGTAAGTATATGGTTATTGATGTGTTTACATTACTCTTGTGAAATACATGTAAGCTTGTGTGAGAAGGAAGTGATAATATGTTCCAATAGAAGACTGATCATTTTTAAATTAATATATAAACGAAATTTATGACTATTTTTATGCATTTCAGGTTTCTAACCTTGTTTTCTTCTTATTGTAGCTGTCTACTGGGCATAGTATGGCATTACGTATAATCACTTACATTGGTTGTGTTGTGTCTGTTGTATGCCTACTTTTAACCATTGTTACTTTCCAAGTTTTCAGGTAATAACTTTCTTCGTGTATTTTGTAATAATTATTTTTTTTTTACTGTTATTATTGCTATTCAAGCTGTTTATTGTTAATTTATATATGTATGAAATAAAAAACAACAACAACTATTAATCTTATTATCGATTATAACACTAAGATTACTTCCACAACTATATAAGTATATAATATAGCGTATTCATAATTATAACATCTTTATTGGAAATATAATAGTTATTTTTACTTTGCTTGTAGTAATAATGTATTTTTATGTTTTCAGGAGCTTGAATGGTGATCGGACTACAATTCACAAAAACCTTTGTATCTGCCTTTTGATTGCAGAAGCCATTTTTCTTATTGGAATAGATCAAACCCACTCCAAGGCTTTCTGTGGTATTATTGCAGGACTTTTGCATTACTTTTTCTTGGCAGCATTTGCATGGATGTTTTTTGAAGGATTCCAGTTGTACGTGATGCTGATAGAAGTTTTTGAATCAGAGAAGTCCAGAGTAAAGTTATACTATGTTGCTGCCTATGGTATTCCTGCAGTAATTGTAATGATATCTGCTATTATTGACCCTTTCAGCTATGGCACAAAGGATTACTGCTGGTTGAAGGTTGACAACTATTTTGTCTTCAGTTTTGTTGGCCCTGTTGCAGCTATTCTCTTGGTATAATGAAATTTTTCTTATTTTTATTTGCAACTTAACATTAGAAAAACAATTTTTTTTATATATCATTCAATTAACTGTAAATTGAAATAAGTCAAACTAAAATCCCTCCCCCCAAATGAGTGGGGTTGTATTTTGTTATATTTAACTTACTTTAAAATAGTAGAAGGTAGTATAAATGAACTTGTTAAACTGTCAACTTTTATCAGACATTTATCTTTTTCAACCTTTCAGCTAAGAAAAGAAGAAAAATGTTATTTTTGTCACTGTTTATTTGGTTTTATACAAAGAGCTTAAATACTATTCCCAAAAGTTTTATTAACACTATAATTGTTTTTATTATTCTGCATGCTTTTTGGCTGCCATCATAATAAATCATGGATAGTGTTTAATAAGAGAATAAAGCCACAAGAAAATATCAATTCAGGTGAAAAAAATGTAATTTCAATCATATATATGTAACAACTAAATACTGTTAGTGTTACATGTAGCCTCAGTAAGGTTTTAGATATATTTATTCATAATGAAGTGTATTCACAAAACAATGACTACCTGACACTTGTCAGTTTAGCCTGCTCCTTAGCTTTCATTGTTGCAGTCAAATTGGAGTGACGACACATTATGAAGATTGCTATTGTGAGGAATGCCATATTAGCCTGAAAAATAAATTTTGGTGATTAAAGTTAAAATACTGTTCCTCTAATCAGTTTCATAATTGAATTAATTTTTTTCCCAGCCATTTGATTTTAACAGATTACCAGTTACATACACAATCTTGTTTTCTTCTTCCAATATATAAATTATACATTTTTACATCAATCGTATTATTACATTGTTTAGTCCCAAAGCATTTCATCTCACATTACTAACCTCATGCTATAAAAAAAACAAAAACTTTTATTCATTAATTCCGTCAATAACGTAAGTTATCATTACTTACTGAATACAGTTGATTATGAATAAAACTTATTTAGCATTTCTTTAAGCTATATATAAAACTTACATTTTATAATTATTTTAATCAAAATGAGTATTTATTTTCCTTTAACTTTTCCTATTAGGTGATTTTCAGTTTAGAATATTCTAATATACCGTAACTAGCTTGTTAATCAGTTGAGAATGAACAAATTCGATCTGGTAATTAGCATTAGTTATTAGTAATTTGAATTATCTAATGTTTTATAGTTTACATTATGGTAGCTGAACATTATCTATCTCTTGATTTTATTTCAAACTTTGCTATTGACAAAACGGGATTCATGTTTCAAACAGGTCCACCTCCATGCCTAATATTTAACAAATTAATACATTTATATATTAATTCATTTGTGCTTTGGAAAAGAAAAAAGTAAAAGTGTCTGGAATTTCAGAATAAATTTTTGTAGAAATTATTTTCATTCTGTTTTGTATGTATAACAAGGACTTAAGCACGATTTATTGTATATTAAGTTCAAAATAGATTGTTTTTATAAAGATTAAAGCTTAAGTTATTCTTGAATTAACTGGAGTAAATTTAATCCATTATATCCATGCATATGAGTGTACTTAAAATTAAATCAGTGAACTGTTACTAAATTAAAAATAGTAGTTTAAAAATCTATCAATCATTCAAAGGTATAGCGAGTATATTTGAAAGTAGTCAACACAATCTAAACAATATGCTGAATAGTCCTAAAAGCCTTTTTTTTTTTTAAACTTCATATTGATTCCAAAGAATGTCCTAATCAATTTTGGCTACTGTGTGTACAAGTCTTAACATGGATTCTTCTCATAAGTGATTTCTGGTCAGAAATTTATTTTTCCAATTATAACCATTGTTAGCTTCTAGGACAGACTGTCAAACAGGAATGTAAGTTAAGAATTTCAAGAAGCAGAGGCTAGAGAATGTTATTTATAAATCATTTCAATCATTGGGTTTCTGTCATGCTGAAAGTTGAGACTGAATATTTAATCACCAAATAGAAGAATTGGCCTGTTAAAACATAAACTTTAGTTACTTTTAAAATTAAATGAATTACAGAAAGATCAGGAGTTTTCAGAAAATATGAACTTCTTATTCATATAAGTAGAAGCCAATGTCAGGTGAAATTAGTAACTACTAACAAGTCTATCTCTTCTGTTGCATGCAAACTGAAGTGATGAGGATGACTGTTATCATCACCAGGTCCTGATTATGTAAGGACTTGTTTTTATACCCAAGAATGTATTTTGACTTTTTTTATACATTTTAAGAAATGTTTTAAGTTAAACTGATTTTTTTCACATCTAGTTAGAAGTAAGGTAATCTTTGTTATACTAAACTTTTGTTTTAGTAAGTACATATTTATGTTAATATAAGTCAATAGATAACTTTAACAATTCATTTTGGCATACTGTCTTAATAGGTTTGCCACAAATACAAAAAAATACACATTATTTCATTTAGATTATTCAGTAACTGACAATAAAACTTTACACAAGGTCGAGTTCTAAGTTGTAGGATATACAAGACTGTTTAGCTTAATAATTAGCGAAAGTGAATTTATCACAGATTGTATTGTGAGAAAGAGAGGTAGAGTGGAAGAATTCGTCTTGTCACTTAAGTTCTAAAGTAACTGAACTAGACTGTAACTAGAAAAGGGAATTATTTAGAGTGTTACATACAATTGTGATATCCTGTAGGCCATAGTGTAAAGAACTTTTGTACATACATTTTTTAATATATATTATTTTAAAACAACTGGATTGTGTGCTGTCCGTTTAGTGTCCAAATTTATGGCCAACAAGTCACAGACATCTACTGTTAAAGAATCCCAGCTCACTCATATATTTAAAACTCTGACATTTGGTGAGTCAGCCAGGATTATACAGTAGTAAACGGTGATAGAAGAAGAAGTTAATGACAATGAAAATAAGTAGGCCTTTATATGAACAATGGTAGTGGTGGCAAAAATAGTATAGAGATTACAATCACATCAACAGATTTTGATAAGTGGATTGAAAGAGGTGAGCATCTTGGGTTAACAGATAGTGAACTACAAGAGATTTTTAAACAACAACAACAACAACTAGAGAGAGAAGAGGAGAGATGGAGAAGAGAGAAAGAAAGACCAAAAGAAGAAAACGAGAGAAAAGAAAGACTAAAAATAGAGAGAGAAAGAATAAGAGCACAGATTGTGAAAGAAGGAAAAAGAGAGAGAGAGGAGATACTGGAAATAGAGAGAATAAGAGAACAAATTGAGATCACCAAGCTCACCCAACAGAAAGAAGAAAGACCCAAGAATGACAATGGGGTCAGAGCCAGCTGACCCAAGCTGCCCTAATTTGATCAACAGGAAAATGACATGGATGCTTTCCTGGAGAGATATGAAAGATTTGCCCAAAGTCAGAACTGGGACAAAAGATGACTCTCCAGTCTGTCTCAGATTACTTCTCACAGGAAAAGGCCCACAAGTCTATGCAAGCATGACGTCAGAAGATGCCATGGACTATGAAAAATTAAAAGTGGCCTTGCTGAAATGATATGAACTTATGGAAGAAGGTTTTTACTAAAAGTTCAGAGAAGTCAAACCTGGAGAAACTGTATTTCAATTTGTGGCATGTCTATGGCAATCTTCACAAGATGGACTGACATGGCCAAGTGTGACAATAGTTTTGAGGGACTGGCTGATCTAGTAATATGTCAACAGTTCATAATCACATGATCAACTGACATGTCACTGTTCCTAAAGGAGAGAGCACCAAAAGAAGTGGATGAGATGATCAAGTGCAGTATTAGCAACATCAGAATCTTCTGAGCTTGATGAGATGATCAAGTGCAGTATTAGCAACATCAGAATCTTCTGAGCTTGAAACCATTAAGTCATCATGACTAGCTATTTCATTTAGTGGAGAGATGATACACTTTTTTTTAAACTTTAGTTTGCTTGTGACAGTTGAAGATATAACTGGAGGAGTTTCATACTGCATAATATTAATTCTTATAATAAAAGGCAACCATTGCACACCCTGCCGACTAGCAATTACAAAATATAATTTTCAACTAAGTAAATTCATGTGCCCTAATATATATATATATTCAATAAAGCTTTTAACAATGCTTATATATATTTCATTTATCGTTCTGTTCTAGGGTTTGGATTCGAGGAGCCTTAGTGCTGGTATTTTTGCTTGGACTGACTTGGGCATTTGGACTATTGTATTTAAGCAAAGAATCTGTAGTTATGGCATACATATTTACCATTCTCAATAGCCTCCAAGGATTGTTTATCTTTGTGTTTCATTGTGTCAGAAATGAAAAAGTAAGTATATTTCGTAGTCCTAATCAATTCATTACCCAAAAATATTGGAAGGAAAGTAAAATGAATTCATTTATTTATTTGTATCATAAAGATTTTTATTTCTGTCAGACTTACCTTGGAACTTGTATTCACATGGTTGGTTGTATTTAAATGCCAGTTGAATTCATTGTTCTTATACAGTTCTTTGAAAATTTCATTTCACTAAATCTTTTTGAAATACATATGAAATTCCAAGTATGGTTTGATTCTCCACAGCACTGCTAACTTTCTTTTAATCAATAAAATGTTTAAATAAAGAATTATTTTATATGTAATAAGATATATATATATTGTCAAAAGAAGTTAATATGAAAGTGTTCAAAAGTAGCTAGATATATAACTTATGTTAGAAGTCTGAAAGTAAGTGTTTTGGTCACAGACAATGTCCAATGAAAAAAATTGTATCTTGAACAGCACAAATTTCACTGAACTGGGAATTTTGGTTCAAGTGAAGTTTTGGTATGGGAAATAGCAAATCATACTTCATTGTATATTTTTAAAATTACAATTGGTATTGTATGAAAGTGTTCTTAATGAATAATAACATTAGAACTTAATGAAATCTTAAGTACTTTAACCCTTTATGATCTCCACCTGTATATTTACACATGCTAGACAACATCTCCACATATATATATATATAGGCCAAATGTCTTGCATGTCATTTAAGTGCCTCATGCCTGGTATGTTGTGGTCAAAGCATTGCTACTTTAATGGAAAAAATCCCGCCATGGAAGATAAGGGGTTAAATTAGGTTTCCATGAGATTTATGTCCCAGTATACTACCATGTTTTTCAAATTCTCAGATGTGCTTTATGGCTTAATAAAATTTACTATAATAATAATTTACTAAGTTTTAAGATAGCTAGTTCTATGTGTAAATTAACAAAACTGTTAACAGTAGAGATAATTATAAAAGACAGAACACATTATTCAAAATTGTAAATAATTTGCTTAGCAAAGATGAAAAATGAAGTAATAAATTTAATAATAAAAAGATTTTAATTAACCCTAGAATTATCAGTATGGGCATACATTGGAAATACATTCTTTTAAACTTCTTATGCACCAAATTGCATGTGGGTTCATGTTGTTGTTGGTTAGGCTCTTTGATATAAATGACAGAAAAACTAAAAAACACCATCAATATTGAAATTAATCCCACTAGTTACTGCTGGGATCCCCAATGCATTTTACACAGAAAATGAGTAATTTCACCCAATATTTTGGTCAGTTAAACTGGTACTTTAGGGTTAAGAAATATAAGGATGAAATTTTATTGATAAATATATTGATTTACATGGTAAGGTAGAATTGCATGCATGATAGAAAATTAGGAAAGAGTATTTAAATTCTGGATCAGTTTATTATGTTTTGTAACTAAACATATAAAAATTGTTTTGCAAGTATGCTTTTTTAAGATAGTAGGTTAATAAATAATTAATATTAAGAAATATTAAAGGTTAATAAATATTTTATTTTCTATAAATATTTGAATTAAGAAAATTATAATAATATAGATTTGTGTTTAATTGCAGGTCCAGAAAGAGTACAAAAAAATCTTGCATAGAACCCAATGGCTTCCAGAATGTGTCTGTAGGACAAAACACTCTGAACGACGATCAAGTTTTTATGTACATTCCAATGGAACTATGTCTGGTCCAAACACTTCAGGCCAACAAAGTGTAAGTTTATACTCTTACTATTTCTTCTGTTATATTAAATTTATTGTATTGTTATCCATTTGATGGTAGAGAAGCTACAAAGCTGCAAGTAAATTAAAATAAGCTTATTTATCACCATTTTCCTATTTTTGCTTGATTTATTAATGATGTTTAACAATTAGGTGTTCTAATGTTATGTGTTATTTTTTCACTATTTACTCATTTGTTTTGTATCTATGATTTTATATGACTGGGTTTTTACCTCTCTGGAAATCTTATCATTGTTTAATTTTTCTTCCTGTGCATGCCAGCTGTTATCAGATTTTATACTTTGAGACATTTAGGACAATTTCAGCCGTCATCTTGTTAATTCATTATATGTTTGTGAAGATAAGCCTAATATGAGATATATGACTTGAATTTGACTATTTAAATATATTATTTGTTTAACCTTATGTGAATTGGTGGGGGGGTCAAAGTGTACATGCCTTGATCTTGTACAACATGCTATTTAACATGATATTACGCATTTAGTCTTAGAGTTATCAACACTTCATACTGCCTTCATTTCTGGTTTTGCAACAGTTCATGTATGAGGATTGAGAAGTTACCAGATACAATATATATAGAGATATTTCAAGAAAATTTACGTATGCAGTTATGAGGGTGTAGAAGTTATGCAAATACAAGTTGCAAACTGTATGATGGACAAAAGTATTTTTGTTTATTTTTCTTAACATGAACATCGTTTTGTACTCCAACTTGATAGAGGGTGAGTTAAACATATTTTTAATACAAAAATTCAGTAATACACCTGATGTTTTGTGTACAACATACTTGCTCGGTTGACTAAAAGTTTGTCATATTTTATGAAGAGTAAAGATAAACTTCATAAATTCGGAATTAAACAAGTTTACTTCTGCAAACAAGTTCTACAAGTTTATGATCCCATGCACATTCAGTTAATATATTGGATGTCTTCATTTTATGACATTTCCATAGTTTTGATAATTCATTCATTGTTGATCATAAAATTTAATGATTTCCTAAAATATAATTTTTATATCTAACAAGATAGATTTTGCGTAAACTTTTTTAGTGTAATTTGCTTTTATTTTTACTTTTTTTTGTATTAATCGTAACTTATACTCTATCTTAAGGATTAAATACCCAACTTTAACATTTTTGTATCCTGTGCTTCTGCTTTATTGCCAGTTGTATATATTTATGCTTTTATTTTTCTAATGAAAAATATTAACAGCCATGCTCCTACCTGCTTGTAACTACATGAAATACATAAAACCTTATTGCAGGCTTTGACTGCATATCAAGTTCTTCTGGTTGAAAATTTTTCTATTGTCTATGTAAAGATTATGAACTAATGTGTGTGATATAACATTGATGATGCTTGAAAATCATCAAGGATTGAAAAATGGAGAAATTGCAGAAATACCTGACTTTTAAAAGACCTGAAAGTATGTCTGAATTTCAAGAGTATGAAGTAAATATCAAGACATCAGCAATTAACCTTGAGCAGATGCACAACTGCTGTTTGAATTTTCACTCAAAAACCATCATGATGATATAAATGTCAGAGACCCTGTTAGGTAATCGGGATAAAAATATAATTGACGTTGAAATGTATATTGTTTCATGTTCTTATTATAAAGATTTTGTTCACTATGTCATAGTTGAGAAATTTTAAGGCATGTTGTGTGTCTTGTAACTTCCTTTTTTAAATAATATTGACTTTAGCACTTTAAATATACATAAAATCATAAAAAAAATGCAATGACCTCTGGTTGTTGCTGATTTGGAGCTGTTAAATAAAATATAATTTTCTTTCTTTAATTATCAGTGTTCAATAAAGAACGAATTTTTTAACATTGAAACTTTAAATAGCCTTTTGAGCTTCCAATCAGTCAATATACAAACCATGGGTTGAATCAACATTCAAGCCAAGGTTTGTATATTTATTTAAATTTGTAGGCTTTAAAACCACAGAAAAAGTGTTACACTTATTGACATTTTGAAAGTATGTTTGCACAGAAACATACGAGTTTTCTGCATACAATTTCACAGTTTTTAACTCCATGTTTTCGTACCCATCACATGGTTAACTCTGATTAGGAGACAGGACTACAAAGATAAATTTTGAACATGCTGAATGTGACAAATTAGACATACAAAAGTACTCGTATTGATTGTTTCCATTTTATCACTAATGTTTTGGCAGATTGATTAGGACGCCTCTATCTAAGATATATGTTGGCAAATAAACAAATCTGTAAATAAATGTTTGTTTGAACTATTAGTACATTTTTTCATAGCAATTAATGTAATTCATGTGTTCAAATTAATTCTAGTTATGTACCCATACCTTCTTTTTAACTTGGCCAGAAATTCACTTTTTCTAATGTATATCAAATAATATGCAGACATAATATTAGAAAAATTTAAACATTTGTTTTTGATTCTCCCCTGTAGTACTAATGATGGATTTTCCTTCTCACTGATATTTTGAGATTGGTTTTATGGCTTATGATCCTATTTCTTATTCACTACCATTCATAATCAGTTAAAAATCAGTGATATTACAGCTTATATTTTATATCTGTTCCATTTGAGAATTCATTTCTTATATAATTGCGTCTTTTGTCATACATCTCGGTATTTAGTTCTTTCATTTGATTATGTTTTTTGCTTCAACTGTCTTTCACGTGCAATTTGTCTATGAAATTCTGTGCTCTATTAAAAATAAAGTAGACATGGAATAAAACTGTTAAATTTTAAGAGAATTATATCATTAAGACTATTGGTAAGTGAGCTATAGTATTTCTGCAGCTACTCCTATTTGTTTGTATTGAAATTGAAAGTGCCAAAAATCTTTACTTTTACAGTCCCTATCGCAAGGATGGAATGGAGATCAGGTTCACCGATCTTCAACAAATAGCTCATCACTTAGGTGTTCTAGTCAAGGTAGATTTCTTTATTTCAAATTAAGGTTAAGATTGTAAATAAATGGCTCATGTACATTATTTTTAATGACATTAGAATTGGTTTACTTGAATTCAGTATAGATATATTTTAGTAGGTTTCTTTGAAATATGTTTTAAACAGCTAAGTAAATATCTTACAGAATTATCTTAAATTTATCAAACTATACATTTTATACTGATGAAAAAAACTAAACACTCCTTTTTTTTTCCTTTGATAGCTATGAATAAATGTAAAAAATGTTTTTGTTTGGGCAGTGTCTTAAGATTATGAAATTATTAATTCATCTGGGTCTGTATGAAAAATATGTTACAGATTTTGATAGAAATTAAAAGTCTTAGAATTTAACATTAGCTTTCAACAATATTTGTTGTAGAAAAAGCACACAATTTGGTATTTGCATGATATATTTACACAGTTTCTTGTCTTCTATGTAGGATTTGCATCTACAGTTTCAGGCAGAAAATCAGAACATGAGAGACGATCTTCCCGTAGCAGTAATGCATCCGTTCGAACCTCATGTAAAAAGTTTAAACCAATAAATGAAACAACTTTTCACTTGGACAACAACAATGGTATTATAGGAAATTTATCAGTGGCTGACTGCTCAGTTATTGATTCTGAATGTGTGACTGATTACTGCAGTGACAAACTGACTGCATACAACACAACTTGTGAACCAGTCAGACTAGGACAGCTTTCTGAAACAAATGGCAAATTAAGTTCCTTTCCTGATCATATCTATGAAGCAATAGATGAGGAGAATCACAAGAGAAGCGTGCCAACAAAGTGGCTCCCACAGCCTTATCCTTCCTGCACCGTAGCTTCTGATGGACACACCAGGAACAACTCTGACTGTAGCCACCAGTCATCATCTAGCCTTGCATGTGATCAGCACCCACTCATTTCTCATGCATTTCCTGAAAGAAATGCTTTGGTCTCTTTAAATCAAGTGTTTAATAGTGTTCCTAGTAATGCATCTCTATCTAATAAACACAATTCAAGTCAACAACCAGTTCCAGGTCTACAGAACACTCAAAGTTTGGCAGCTCCTGAGAAATCTAACACCGTAACAGGAATGAAAGTTAAAAATACTTGTCAAAGTGGATTAACTCATCCTAAGGTTTCTAACCATGAGTATCTTGATGGACATCTTCATAGTTTACCTAATCTTCACCAAAGATCAGGGGAATTGTTTCAACAGATGAATAAGTATCCTAGTGACAATGCCATGATAATGGCAGTGCTAGATGGTGAACGAGTTGTATGTAAACTCCAACCTGAGACCTACAGAAGCTCTTGTAATACTTCTAGTAGCCCACATTGTCACAAAGTTAGTGAATTGAGCACAGACTGTTGATGGGATTCCAGACATCTTGTACAGAAACTTTTGTCTGTGTTGCCAAAAGTGTTGAGCTTATTACTCTTTTATCATTTCAAACTGCCTCTTTTTCCCGAGAGTAACGTCTGCATTTAAGTTTTATGTTTATGAATCCTTGGTTGTTTGCTCCACTCTATTAAGGAAGTGGGTTTGTCATTTTGTGGACATAACATAGTAAAGTGCTACTGTGTATGAATAAGACTTAAAGCATAAATAACTTGCAAGCTGAACTACCAAAGGAGTTTATACCATCTGTAATTAAAAGAAAATGTTTTTGATTCTTTATTAGTACTCTAAGTTAGTAAGTCTTTCAGTGTACTTTGGGTGACACCAGGTAATTGTAAAATTAGTGTAACAGTTGTGCATGTTATTGTATAATGAAAATAATTATCTCTGATAATTATGGCTTCAGTCATGGATTTGTGAAAGGTTGTGAACTTTATTGTGCTACTTTGACCTCTTTGTAGTTTTTACGATAAGTAATTTACATAATTTAATGGACTTTCATGCTTAAGTGTAGTATATTGCTAACTTAAATTTGAGACATCTTTTACTGTTAACAGTATCTTTCTAATAATACCATTTATTCAGATAGGGATGGGCATTTCATAAGAAATGGTGTAACGTGTCTGCATGTGAAATTTATTCATGTAAAGGAAACAAATACTGTTTCATATTACTTCATATGTTGAGTTTGTAAATATTGCACAATAACGTACAGATTTAGCTAATATACATTATTATAAGCATTCTATTATCATATTGTTGTCTTGTTGATCAATGTTAGATCCACAGTTCTATTTACCAGCAGAACTAGGTTTATACTTGAATTAACTGGATTCAAATATAGTTTCAGAAAGTGAATATAGGCTATGTTTGTTAGAAATGTTTTTTAATAACTTAGGAAATATTTTGTTCATAAGTTAATTTATGGAAACATCCTTCAGAAAAGCAAGGGGAACATAATCTATATAGTACAGTCAACATGAAGTTTCTCCTAAAGATATAAAAATTTGGGTTTGATCTGTATAAGTAAAAGTTTTGACTTGTGGTGCTCTATCTGAAAAACATTATAAGTTAATATTTAACACACACATACACATTTTCATGACGTTTGCATACATTAGAGAGTTTTTTCCAGTTTAATAAAGTTTGATTGGTTTGCAATATTTTTCTGCCTTTACATATACAGTATGTTACAGTCTGTGAAAGGACAAGTTAATGAATCGGTTATTTTAGATTATAGTTCAGTATTTCTGAAAACAGTTTTGTAGAACATGTTAACAATAACTGTAATTACAAGTTACATGACTTTTTTCTACCTTGCTTATTATCTCTGTCTTTATTTAAATATTCTGGGTCTTAGATAATCCATTTAGCAGTCTCCTAAATCTTTCTCTTCTAACAACCATAAATATTTAAATTTGTTTTAGAATATGCTGAAATTTGATAATGTCGTCTGTGTAAGTAATGTTAAACCACTGTTAGAAGATTACTTTGACTTAGCCACTCGTTTTTAGATTTGTGTATAGATCTATATCCAGTAAAGTATCACTGATTTAGTGAATACTGTTCAGACTTGTTCAATAACATAGTGTTATTTACTGCAACTAAAAACAAATTTAATTTTAATTATCTTGTGTTATATCTAGGATATAGTGATCAGTGTTAAATATTTTCTTAATAGCTAGTTCATAAAAAAAAATTGAAAGTTTTCAAATAGGCAACTTTATTTGGACTATCTTAGTCGTATAGAAAATATTGACAGATTGTTGGAGTCTTATGCTTTGCTAAAAAATTTGGCATTCAGAAAATCTTAGGAAAGTAAATATTAATTAAGATACCAGAGATAAAAATATTAAATTCTAACTATTACTAACACCCATACTCTACTGTTACTTTTCTATTCAGAAAAGGATACAGTGACTTGTGGTATAAGGGGGCTTAAAATTTTGCCAGATGTTTTTAGATACGATGTAACAGTTTGCTGAAAGTAGATATATTGGAAAATATTTCATGACAATAAAATTGGATGAATTTCAATAAACTAGCTATCAGCAACTATAAACATAGGAAGGCTTTGTTTATGGCAACACAACTTTGGTTTCAAAAGTGGGTGGTATGGAGAATAATTGCTTTGTATTATAGTTGTTTGGGGGGGGGGCATGTTCTCTTTGTAAATTATGCCTTTGGTTTACGTCCTTCTTTATGCAACTGAAATTAGCCATCAGGGGAAAATTAAATGCGAGTTTTTAAACATGTTGCAGATTATTTTAATGAAAGACAAAATGTTATGTACAGGGAGAAAGACTGTTTCTGTAGATTAAGTATGAAGGGAGGCTTTTAATGATCATAGTTACAACAATGAAAATTATGAAAAATATTATAGTAAATACAGCTGAGAAATAGGACATTACACTTAAATAGTACATTGTTGTAATCTGATGAATTATTTCATCGTGTTTTTTTTTTTAACAGATTTCAGTAATAAGTTGTGTTTATAGTTTTCTACCTGAGTTGTGTACAATTTTTCAATGGGGGCTTAGATCAAGTTGATGCTTATGCCAGTGCACTTTAATGATAATAAATGGTATCATCTAGTCATTTGTGGACAAATGTTTTTTCTGAAATATTGAATAAAGCAGTGGAGGAGTTTATCTACCACATTCTGACTTTTGGTAGTTTAGCAAGATTTCACAATGGATGAATAAGGTGTTTTTAATGTCTCCATCCTTCATAATAATATAAAGATTTCTTTTTTATTGGGTAATTTAAAAGAGATTGCTGGAATGGACCAACAGTATATATAAGGATTTTCAGCATTGACTATTTCATCTTAATGTTGGGTAAATCATCTTTTGAGCTTTTTCTTGTAAAGTTTTGTTACTGATCCTACATGTGTGATTATAATGGAGTTATGGAGATGGTATTTAGTACAGTTGTATGATGATATATGATTCACTGCTGGTTTTGCTGTTTCAGCTTGTTTTCCTGATGAAGAATCCGAATCACTTGGCTCTTGAGCTGTGTTAAATGTGGTACTGGGAGTAGTTTACCTTTCTTTGTCTTACTTTGACCCAGTACATCCTCTCTGTATCTTGGCTTTACGTGTATGTTTCCAAGGGTATTTTATTATGTTGGTCAGAATGTTAGCCTCATTACTAGGTGGTAAACACTGACGATGTGGTAGGTCAGATTGTTGGCTTTGTGAAGTTACACTGGTTTTTGGTATGTTGGAGGTTACTTTTTTATCAACGAATTTTAACAGGTAAGGCCTACTTTTCCGGTTTGTCGTGTAGTTTTTCTTGGAAGTCATCCCATGCATTTCACGGACTGTTATTTCTTTAAGTGATATGATTGTACCCTACGAAAGATTGGTTCAAATCATTGCTAGAAGTCTGAAGCTGGACTACAATATAGTGGCTCGTTTCTTTCTAGGGTTGGATAAATATCAATTTTTACATATGGTTTTATTTGTTTTACGAACGTCTAGATGGCTTGACCTGGTATGACTAGTGATGTTACGGGAAAACGTTCGTTATCCTAGCAAAAGGAGTATCGTAACAGTGTCATTGTTGTAATTATGTTAATTTTATTTTTTAATATTTTCTGAAGGAAAAATGTCTTTCTAATTCTACGTGACGTGTCTATCTTGTAGAATAATTCTACAGCTCGTAGTTTTGTCTTTTCCTAGGTTATGCATCTTTTTTAAGAGTAAGTATTAAATTCCTTGTCCTTCTTCATTTAAGAAGCCTAACATATCGAAAAGCATAACATTCAAATCCAACATTTAAGCTGCATCTTACGAAATTAACTCTTTTATAGGAGTTTTAAATTGAAGTGTTAAAAATAGGTCCAAAAATTATTTTAAAGCATGAGGAAATGTTATTTATTTTTTCTTTAGTCTGATTAAAAAAACAATAAAAAACGTGAAATTAAGCCGTTCTCCTGGTTATAGGCAGTTTTTACAATGATCACATATATATATAACATGAACGGAGAATCTGAATGGCTTGTGGTTAGTGCACTTGACGAGCAATCTGCGGGTCGTAGGATCGAAACCCTGCGCCTAATATGCTCGTCCTTTCAACCATAGGGGCATTGTAATGTTGGCAAAACAGTAGCTCAAGAATTGGCGTTGTATACTATTGTGCCCCACAGTGGTATGTCTGCGGACTTACAATGCTGGAATCCAGGTTTCGATACCCGTGGTGGGCAGAGCACAGATAGCCCATTGTGTTGCTTTGTGCTTAACTTCAAACAAACAGTATACAACTGCTTTCCCTTTGATTGGCAGTCAAAATGGGGGACAGCGGCAGATAGTCTTAGTAGTTTGCCATAAACAAAAATATACATCAATAGAATGGGTGTTATTTTATTTATGAATTGCGAATAATAGGTAAATGTTACGGCTGTGTAACAGTAAGCCATTCCTGATAGAGCTATGTGCGTAGACACACACACACGAGTTTTATGCTAAGATAGTCCAATAAAAGTTCAAAATGTATTTAACTTTACTTTTAGCGCTTTCAATGCAGATGTACATCGAACTCTCTCTCTCTGTCTCAATTATTGTATCTTAAGAAATTGTATTTCTAGGGTGAATATCATATAAGTATGTAAATATTTCAATGAGAGTTGCAGCTTGCACGTGGTTGGTTTTGGCCAAGAATTTAAATCTGAGTATTTCTAAGAGTATCAAGTGTATTATGTATCATTTCGAAAGGTTATTTAGTGCTTGTGGTCGTGATGTTATGCCTTTTTGCAGAGTGATGCTGTAAACTGTGCTTTTATAAATTGAAGTGTAGTGGTTTTATGTAAAGTTTGGCTGATGCTTTTCAACAATGCAAGTCATTAAACCAGCATACAAGTGCACTTGTGTTGTGATATCCATTTAACGATGTAACGTGCAAAAGTTCAAAGTGCAAAATAGCTTTATTGTTTGTGTAATTTAAAGCAACTCTTTAAGCAGTTTAAGCTACAACTTTAAACATAATACACTTTACTGATCTATACGTGCTTTGGAGTTATTGGGTGTGTTGAATCATAAAGAGTACATCGCATCATACAGTTTTCCCACGTATGTATAAATGAAGATATTGTTCTACCCAAGGTATCAAGCATGACAAGTGGTTATTATGTTAAAATAACACCTTGTGTAAATGCTAAACAGATACTTGTATGTGTTATGGTAAATACCTTAGTATTTTATTGCTAAAACACACCAAAAGGATAGAATAAAAAATACACTTAGTATTCCGAAAATTTGTTTAATTTTGAAGTCTAAGTTCAAGAGAGGTTCAGTTCAATCTACACTTTGATCAAATGGACTACAAAGCACGTTCACACCAACAGTATTGTTACGTATCTGCTCGTTTGTTAATTTCCGGTATAAATTCTTTCCGAGGAACTTCAGCGATATAAGTC